CCCTCATGCACATTACTAGTGGTTTAGTGACCAACAACTTCATAGACATTGAATCGCTCTTCATATTCCTACACGGCGTGGCTTCAGAAAGCATACCAGAGTTCGTACTAGGTGCTCCAAAGCGAGAGATAACTGAAAAACAAAGAGAGTCAATGTTAAGAGCTAAACCAGATTGTTTCCTTATTCCTGAAACTCCGAAACGTAATAAGGAATCCCAAGCTAAACACGTTAGAACGTCTGGTAAGGCTAACGCTCATGTTTTAGTAGAATTCAGTTTGAATATTCTATACGTAATTCTGAAGAGAGAAAAGGTACCGAGGATGGACTGCAGAGCATTTGTAGATCCACTTATACCTCTACTAGTAGATGCTTTGAAAAGTGACCACGTAAAGGTGACAACGGTGGCCATGAAGTGCATAGCGACTTTGTGGACGATCAGAATATCCACGCCAATGTTAGAAGAAATGATTCAAGATATTGTTAAAACCATATTTATAACTTTACACAAATATGCCACGTTTGAAATAAGCAAACAGAATGATAACTTCAATTTAGTTAGGACTGCTTTTAAGGTAAGCAATCTTATATCTTCTTTGTAATGTAAAAAAACATTAAATACTATTGTCGTTTACGAGACTTATATCAATGTTTATTCTTCTTTATAGGCAGTAACAGTTCTAGTCCGTAATGTAAAATATTACAAATTAGAAGAGGAACAGTTGAAAACTTTACTTTTGTATGCAGAAGAAGATTGTCAGAATGATGAGAAGCAATCGAACTCATTCTCTCTACTGAAAGCCATATTAGAAGCTAGATTAGTATCCAATGAATTGCATGAAGTTATGGTGAAAATATCAAGGATCTGTATATTGAGTGAATCTGCAAGATCTCGGTAAGTTATTTTTTAAGTTTACTCTAAATGAAGTAGGAGTTCCTCAGGGCACAATCATAGGCCCACCCTTAATTTTATTAAATGTTTATTATATTTTACAAATTGTGTATTTACTTACAGAGATGAAGCTCGGTTGATATTTGTCAACTACTTAACTCACTACTCACCTGGCAAACGGCTGGAGAAGTTCATAGACTTCTTTGTGACGCAACTCAACTATGAACTCCAGCATGGCAGAGAGTCTTCATTGAAATTCTTAGATATGATTATAAATAAATTGAATGCGGTAAGATTTTTTGGATATACATATATCTGTGTTATAAACCAAATGGCATTTAGTCGTTTGTGTACCGACGAAAAGTTGTCTATTCTTAGATAGACAAGTACTTAAATACCTACATTTGTATAGTTGATCAATAGCTGTTATTTTGTTATTACAGGTACAACTAGCAAAGCACGGTTCTCACCTCCTACTAGCATTAGGTACATGTATGATCAACGATAGTGCGCCCGAGTGCCGCGCCGCAGCCGCGGGATGTATCGAAGCTATGCTTAAAAAGTTCCCAGTAAAAGAGAGAAATAAACTATTCAATTTAGTTATGAATTTCTTCAAAGATAACCAGGTATGTGTAATAAAAACTGCTTGAACATATTGATATAACTAGGTAATGTTAATATTATTTTAACACCGTTTCTTCACTTCCACAGCCAATACACTTTGAACTAGCTGCCCAACTTAGCACACGATTCGTGAACGTAGAACAAGAAGATTTTAAGAACAGACTCAATACAATCTTATCCTTTGTTAGCGGCAAAATATTATTGTTGAGTAACGACGTTTCTGAGGGTCGTTTCGTAAAAATAACCCTTGAACAATCTGATGACAAGACTGATGAAGATAAACAGAAGGAAAAGGATCATAGTTTAATCCAAATATTGAACTTGATCGAGAAGATTACTTTACATTGCGCATCCAGTTTGACTGATAAGAAGTACACGCAAGAATTTGATGATATAGGACAGCATTGTAAAGCCTTGCTGGCGTATCCCCACGCGTGGGTGAGGTTAAAATCTGCGAACATTTTGGGGCAGTTGTTGTCTGTTGTTGACGCTGAAGAATTAGATAATATAGTGAAGAAGAAGGTTGAGTGTGATAGAGGATTTATTTATGATGAGACTGAAGACGTTTTGAGGAGTTTGGTGCTGGATCTATGCGCGCAGTATACTACAGGGGCTTCGAAAGAAATGGTTGAACAGGTGAGATTTCTCTTATGCATTATTTATACATTTTTGTATTAAAGCTGTCGTGAGACGTTTAAATTTAACGGCTTTCTCACGTATCTGTTGCACGAGGCAACTCGACTAATTTCAAGCCACTCTAGGGGCTCGTATTTACGATCAGCATTACCCGACACACGACGCGGCAAACGTGTCGTGCAGCCAACTGATTATTTATTTATACCTACGTGTATAATTGATAACAATTAAAAAACTATCTATTTACCTACAATTTTATTATATATTTACAGGTGACAGCAGTATTATTCCTAATCCTAAAGTTAGTCCACTCGATGTCAAGTTTCAAGCTAGACAAGAAACCTCAGCAGACAGACAGCGAGGAGGCTGAAGGTGGAAGCAGGATGAACATTCGTTGGATCCTGTTCAAATTAAGAAGAGCCATCAATGTCGAAGTGGCGAGAGCACCTAGTAATATGAATATTGTAAGTCAACTGCATTATCATTTACAGCCTATGACCGTCCACTGTTGGACTAAGGCCCTTCTTTATATATGCCTCCTCTCAAATTCGACACGCTTCGTATGCGAAATAGGGTAGTTTCCTAAATTTTATTTTAATGTCCGTCTGGTACATTAATTTAAAACTTTACACAAAACTAAATATTTCGACGATATATAAATTTGAAATATCGTGTGACGTCACAGCGTGCTACATTTTGTACCACGTTATGATGTAACAACCTCGCACTCCTAAACTTAGCGCCATTTTATCTAAGTATTGGAACTTAATACGAGAAAATAAAAAAATACGTGTCTAATATTAACCAGACCAGTTTAAAAGGTCCATGTTTATCAGAGAATGAGATTCCATAAAACTATTTTCTATCGACTAAGTAAAGTAAGAAATAAGTAAATATTTTTTATCAACTCGTATTTTTTTGTTTATTTTAAATACTATTTTGTATATTTTACAGAGAACATCAATATTCACAATGTGGACACACGTGATCAGTGCGTTAGAGAGCGAAGACGTGAATAAAGTGATCGACGTGATTCTCCCGCCAATAGTCCGTGAACTGTCAACGGGTGACGCGGCGACGCCCGCGACCATAGCCAAGCAACTGGCCGGTAGACTTGGAAAGAAATTACGACGAAAGATTGGAGAGATAGAGTATAGTAAACTCGTTGCTGAAGCACAGATGAAGCTGAATATCAAGAGGGCTGAGAGGAAAAAGGTTTGTATTGACTTTAATTTTAATGATTGGATATTTTAATAGAGTTTTTGTTAAACATCTACATTAGAATGAGTTATAAATGCATAATGTGGAGTTGGCAACACTACAGTGTTGTTAAAATTAAATTTGTTATTGTTGCCAGTTATTAAATTTACAACTTACTGCTAGTTCTTTGTAATAAAGTTTAAAATCCTTAGGGTCGATTTTTCCAAAGCCAGATTAATTTTAACTGAGGAATAACTTTGAATATTTGACAATTCTTCCATACTAAAAACTGTCATGTGTCAATTTTATTCTACCTACGCTAAAAAATCGTCCCTTAAACTTAAAATCACACTTTACTAACAATAATATCTTTTTCCAGTTACTTCTCCAAGAGAAAGTCAACAACCCAGAGAAGGCAGCTAAGAGAAAACTTCAACTCAAAGAGAAGAAGAAACAATTCAAGAAGGTCAAAATGGAAATGTTACAGGGCAAGAGGCCAAGGCCTAAGAAACGGAAAGCTGAGGACTTTGATATCGAAGACCAATTGCTTAATGACGACTAGGGCAAACATTTACGAAATTATTGTTACGTGAATATTTGTTCGAAAGGCCAATTCTAGTATCTACATGTACTATAAATATTTTATTTTTTATGAGAGGAGCCCCAAAAATATATAAGTTTTTGGGACAAGGAAGTGTGGATTTGTTATATCCCTAAAACCACACTGGTGGTCACCATCAACATCTGCACCGTGAATTCTATTTTGTTTTCGTCCCAAAGTAAAATTGTTCTGTCTCGGTAATACAATAGTTTTACAGAGAAATAAAATGTTTAAACCAAAAATAACTGGTCAACCATTGCAAACAGCAAACATCGAAAGTGCGTATGAAGTGATAGTTCATAATAAAAACATCACCCCGGGAAAATTAAAATCTTATTAGTCCGTCAGTTAGGTAATGAAAACATATTATATACTTAGTATAAGAAAACAATACTTAGATAAAACAAATCAAAGTTTAGGAGTGCGAGGTAGCCACGTCATTTTAGAGTATAAATCGTACTCAAAAGTGACGTTATGCGATATTTCAAGTCAATACTTTGAAACTTCGTTTCCGTAAGACAATAAAAAATACGTGTCTAATGTTTTTAAATAATCTATGTACTAGACGGACATTTAAATAAAAATTAGTCATATACCTACCCTATTCTCGAAGAGGTATTTCCCGTTGGGTCGCTTCTTTTGTTGTTACTTTATACATCGAAAGCTCTACTTATGGCAGTTTGCCGTGGGACGAAAACGAAATAGATTTCAAGGTGTATAGGGGTTCTCAGTATAGATCAGCTCTGGAGCCCCCTTATGTAGGTACTATAAGTATCTAAATGTATGAAAATTGCATGACTTAGTAGTCATAGAATTGTTTTGAGATCAACTCTTGTAAATATAGTTATAAGCAAGTTGTAATATTATATTTTATTATAGAATACTTACTGTTGTTTTCTTTATTGGTGATAGTTTATACTACTCGCAGTAGTTTTTGATAAGTTTGTCTAGTAGCAAGAATTGAAATAGTTTTACTGGAAATTAACTATTTAACCTAAGATTTTGTAGCATAAATTACTAGGTACTTGTTCTCTACCAATAAAACTCCACTTTTATAAACAAAATAAATATATTGCTTTATGCATTCAAAGTATAAAAGAACAATTAACAAAAACACCGAACGAACGAACATCACAATGGGAACGATGCCTTTTACAAAATACGTGCTTTTAAGCAATAGGTAGTTGTAATATTTTATATCAGCAACTGTATTTAGTACATAAATCACTTAAAAATACATACATATCGTCACACCTGTCTCCCATTGGGGTAGGCAAGAGACAAAAACCTGTGGCAAATTCGCTATCCACCGCACTGTCCGTCTGAGGCCTTAGTACGAGTTTGTTTTACGTAGTAATCGCAACGAGTACGCGTTCGGCGCTGTGATCGTTTCGAATACTTGTAAACGCAAATCAAACTAAGGCCTCTGTTCTATATGAACACTCGTGCCAAGTGCAAGTGAATATCGCCTCTAATGATGGTCGACCGCCAACTTTGTCGATTTACATTTCTATATCTTAAATAATAGGTAGACGTTCATGCCTGAAGAGATTGATCAAGCGAAACATGTATGCCAGAATCATTTAAATAAATAACTATAATTTTGTAAATAGGTTTATATGGAACTTAAGGTACTATTATCTAATGCAAACCATTGAACTATACAGTTATAAGTACACCCATTCTCGATCTACGAGATTAGTATAGGGCTTATAAGTAGAGATTTAATATAATTCTACTAAAATAATATAAAGTATAAGTAATTATAATTAATATTTCATACCCTTCTTATTTACTTTTGTAACTAACTTAAACTATTTTCACTAATATTAGGTACACTTAAATTAAATGTAGGTAATATTATAATTTGAACCAAACTTCTTACAAAGAATATGTGCGTGATCTAAATGCTTGATACTGTTCAGTGTACATACAATATTCATTATATCGGACTGACAATTTCACATTTAATATCTTAACTATAATAAAAAGGGTTCATAGTAAAATCAAAGCGTACACAACTAATTAGTACTATAATAATACATCTATTAATAATACACACAAATTACTGAATAATTTTGATACTCAAAGCACCATAACTCTTTAAATCGCTAAATATTATTTTTAAAATAATATGTAGCTGTAATTATTATGTTCTTACTTACGTCCTGAAACTATTTTTGTTTATCTTCGTGTATCTACAACTACCAACAGTGAGATATTGGAAATATTTTATTTAGTCGGCATTTTAAACAGTAGGCCGGGAGCTGGTAACTCGAATATTATTATCTTCAATTTAATAAATGCACAGAACTTTACTGACTATGAAAGCGTCTAACAATTCTTTCGTAGAGCGAGTACTTAAAATATTTGAAAACTTTATTTAGTTAGTAAGTATGTAACATTGTATAATTATTTTAGTAGATAGCAATATTAGGTAGGTAAGGGAATTACGTAAAATAGAAAAGAGAAGTATAACAATAACATTTATAGCAATGGACGGCAGCAAGCTCGGCGATTATCTAAAGCTTATTCAAATTCAAAGCGTAACGTCGAAGTAAAGTAAGTTATAGCTGTTAAGAATTTAAAAAGGTCGCGTATCGAGCACGTTTAGGTACTATTGTCTATAAAGCCTTGGAGTATAGAGCAAATAATATCTCTGTGAATTGTTCTTTTTTTTTCTTATTTCTTATGTACTAAGTATTTATAAAATAAACATCAATGAGATCTTCCCTGCACGGTTACGCCTGCTAACCAACATTTCAAAACCTTAAAATTGGTAATTGACTAGTAATTTGTATGAAAGAAAATCTAGGGAAGATTTCAATCGAGGGGTGTGATTAGATTAAGAGGAGCATAGCTGAGATAGGGTTGTACCTCATGATTTTGGATAGGAGGATCCAGAGGAGAGAGGTGGTGGTGGCGAGGGCGACTCCTCCCCAGCCAAGTTCTAGAGACCAGGCGGTGGAGAACTCTCTAGCGGAGAGGAGTGAGAGTGCAGGTCCTCGTGGACCGACTACGCCGTCGCCCGTGCCGTCCGCGTGCGAGCTGCCACGAGCTGACACACGCTGCACCCGCTTGAAGTGGATGATCATTAGTGTGAACATGGCGAACAAACCTGTAAACGAAAGTGACTTCAATGACTTTTTCAAATAATGATCACAATAAAAATTTCCAATAGGACGCCATTTGCGGTATTGGTCGTCCATGTTTTCTGTATCATTGCAATTATTATAATTTTTATTCAAAAGCAAAGATGTGTTAACTTACCGGCTAATAGATACATGACGCCTGTAATAAGTACGGCGCTGATCTGATGCTTGCAAATGCCGAACGCGCCCACCAATGCCGCGCTGCCCAGCACAATCAGGCAGACTAGGGCGCATGATATGGATAGATTCTGCATACCTAGAATTAAATTTCAGTTCTTAGGAGTCTATTTTCTAATTTTCGATGTAATTTAGTCAGTAAGAGAAAACAGTTACGATAAAAATCGGTGGCTAAGTCTACCTAATAGGGATGTGATCGGCGACGGCAACCTCTCGCGTCCGGCTCTAGTGCGGGTCATGATGCGGAGCGAGGGGGACTGGGACGCCGTCTCCTCCTTTTGCGCAGCAGTCATGCTAGATAAGAAGGAGGCGGGGCGCATGAGGCAGCAAAGCGCAGCCTCCTTACAATCCAGCCGTCGCGAAGGACACTCTGGGCGTCGGGGATCTCGAGATGTTCTCCGGCCACCGTAAGCGCGGGCCTGCGGACGGCGAGCATCCACGGGTCTGGTTCTGGTCGGGCGGCGAGCCGGGTGAACCAGACCCGGGCGTACGGCGCGTCGCGTTCCGAGCGCGCCTCAAAGAGCCATCAGACCACCACGGATGGGGCCCAATAGGGCTGATGCCGATACGGAGCCGCGGAGAAATTAACGGGTTACCGTGGCTCCAGCTCGAAGTGCAAGTAGGAACGGGGTGGTTTTTAGTCAGTAAGAGTCTGACACTCCTTCCCGCCTCACCCGGGCGGGAGAAGTCACTCGATGATTATCCCCACTTAAAAAAAATCCTTTAAGTAAGCATAAAACCAAAGCATAAAACCACGGCCTCACAGAAAACCGACGTGAGCAACGCTTGCGTTGTGTTTCGTCGTGTGAGTGAGGTTACCGGAGGCCCAATTACCTTCCCCTTCCCCAATCTCCCCAATCCCTGAATCCCCAACGATCTTCAAACTCCTAATCCCCAAAAAGCCGGTGACGCACTTGTAACGCCTCTGGTGTTCCAGGTGTCCATGACGCCGATTGATTACCATCAGGTGATCCGTCGGCTCGTATACCGGCTTATGCCATAAAAAGAAAATTACATTGAAAATCTAATAATCAATCATCATGAATCAATTAACGACTGATTTCGGTAGTTATCACTATAAAGGCTATCAAAAGTTTTGGTCTTTAACCAGGTTCACGACCATTCAATTATTAAATTAGTAATCGAATTTCTAGACATAGGTATGTAATGTATAGGTACCTAAACTAAATAGATTTCAAGAAATATTTGCTTTGAAATTTAATTAATCGCCTAAAGTTGATTTTGTATTAGAAATTTCGAATAGGTGTTTATATGTAATTTATAGGTACCTAAACTAAATAGATTTCAAGAAATATTTGCTTTGAAATTTAATTAATCGCTTAAAGTTGATTTTGTATTCGAATAGGTGTTTATCGTCCCACGTCGGAGCTGGGAGGCGAATGGTCGGCTCTTTAAACATGTAAAGGGTTGGAGCGATTAACGACGGTGCAGAAAATATATTTCCACTTCCTAGCTAAAAATATCTTGAGTTCATTAATTTTTAGTTTGACATAACAGGTGTGATTTTTTTTATAGGCAAGAAATGTGACTTTACTGGAAAATATTTGTGAGTTTTAAATACGTTAATATTTAAAGTGCTCGTGGGTATGGCTATGTTTAAAGTTGGAAGTTGGATAGGTTCGTAATATTGCAGGGATTTGCCATCAGTTGATAACTTTAAGTATTATTGAGATAGGTATCCATTATTTCATTATTTATGTTTGTTTGTTTGACCCACATTTTCCCTTTTTATACCTACTGAAGTTTTTGAGTGAATGCTCCAATTTCCAAATATCTAATTGTATTACGAAAATGGAAATGAAACCGCAACTTTTGGCCGTCGGTTTCGTTTCCAAAATGTTGCAGAGGTCTACTTGGTAAACTTTGTAATCCGGAAAATTAAAAAAGTTGTAAAAAGCGGCTTGAGTTGTGAAACGAACGAAATAAAGAAGGGTAGGTAGGTACCTATTGAGTTAAGTGCTTATCACACTAAGTAAGTTACCTACCTATTTACTAACACAGAATTTGAATCATTTCCTTGAAGAATCGGTAAAGAACAGAGTTACTGACTAGCAAATCAACTCGAATCTTACCTACATGCCTCTAAAGAAATGATATATAGGTACTAACCTAGTCAAAGAAAGGTAAAAAGGTTCCCTAGTCGAGTCATACGACACGAGCTATCCGCTACATACCTTTACCTACCTACTTAGATACCCTACGCGGCGGTATAAACCGGTGATATTTTGATTAACAAATGTAGTCAAGTATTTGCCGTAAATCTTCCTTCCAGGTACTCGAATACTTCACTCGAAAAACACGTTGATAAATGAATTTGGTCGAAAGCAAATGGTTCTTCAAGGTCTTGCTCACCGAGGGATGTAAAGGGCGTTGTTTATGAATACCTTGACTTATCGCTCTTGAATATTTATCATCTTGTTTTCATAATGAACACAGCTTTTATTATCGTTAAAGGATAATTATGACAGTTTTATGTTGCGTTAACAAATCATTTTAAATGCTACCTAAGTTGTTTTTCCTTTTTCTAGTTGTTTTTCTTTTTTTATTACTTTTCTGAGCGTTGGGTGACGTAAGAAAAGGGTTACCACCCTTTTAAACATAAAAGATTTTTTACCATTGAAAAGCTCAGAAAGGGTTTTGCGTGGTCACATATAAAAAATATTAAACCTACGCTACACGTTTAATTGAAGACCTCGACCTTTAACCCTAATTTAAAAATATACATCAGTATCGTATTATGTTTTATAATGTCAAATTAAGACCCTGAGGCAAAAAATTGTGATAAAAAAAAACAAATTAAGATTATATCTAAGACTGATAACTAAATAAAAACGGATGATAGGCCAACGAGCTTACCGTTAAGTAGTTCATAATTGAAAAGGAACTAAGAATGTAGGTATAATAAATAGAAAACACAAAATAAAATACTTACGATGTTGCCAATCAGCTCGAGGCTCCTCATCGTCACTGTTTGCTAAATAATTTGTGCATACTGGCTGCGAGGGGAAGCCGACCCTGGACAATATCGACACCTCTTCCTCTGAAAAAGATATTCAATGTTAGAGTCGACATTTTAATACGTAAAATCGACGTAGGTAATTCCGTCGACCTCTGTTCGCATAATCTGGAAGCCAAATGCGAAACCTCATTAGGTATTACTTACCAATTAACCTATTCTGAAGATTCGTACACATAAGTATTCATTACCGTTCATTACAATGGATCTATTAAGAAAAGTAAGATGACGTCATGAACGAAGGCGTAAGGAGGGTTGTATGTACAATGCGGTCACTTGTCCCATAGAACAACAGGAATGAAATTCAAGACCGTTTGCCCAGTAGGTCGCCCCTGCGACCACTTGTGGTGAAAAAGGAAAATTCCTTTCACATGGTCGTGAATTCTTCATAAGACATTGCACAAAATATTTATAGAAATAGAAATACCTTCAAGAGACACGCACATCGTCCAGATACCTCCGTTCATCGGCACTAGAAAGGTCCCCCCGCCCTTTCGATTACTTGTGTCTTCAATCTGTAAAGAGGAAATATTTCATGACTACGTTTACACATAGAACTTGTTAGGTAGTGTATATGTATATGACGCGAGCCAGAACAAGTTCAAGGCAAAAGGGAAACGTTGAAGGAAAATATTCTCGACGCAAATGTTGTCAAATAGGCTTTTCTTACTCACACATTGGTAGATTAGTACCGAGAATGAGCCATCATTCCATCAGGCCACTTAGTTTAGCCAAAGACTCTGTGTAGCATTTTTTCAATTACTCTGTCCCTTTACTGAGCAGTTATTTGAAAATTACAAAACTATATAAATCTTTTCAGAATCTGGGTCGAACATTCTTCATGGGTACTAGGTAAATGTCTATTTGCAACTATCAAAGGTATAGAAAGCTAAGAAAGGACATAACATTCTTAGGTCCCGAAATAATTAAATTTATTGTACTAGATGTGTATCTAATATAACGCGAAGAGACCACTGTCCGGATATAAGGAAAGTTATAAACCTCGAAGTGAAGGATTAGCGGGCAATAACTACCGAAGTTGTGATTTATTTTCCTACAAGCAAATATGGAACATTTGGAGCGTGTGAAGTTGATGGGCTTCACTACTTTGTACAAAGTATTATACTTACATGAATTACTTGGTAATATTCTACAGGTAGATTATGTAGATAAGTAGTTAATTAGATAGTATGGTTCATATTGTCATACAGACAGTAATGTATGTTTAAGATGGAATTAACATTTTCTGATCGTTCGTGCAATATACATACACACCATCTATACATATAATACAATCGTAGAAAAATCAAAACTGTACATTGAATATTTAAAAAAAAAATAATATTAAGGGCGTGATCTACAATCGATACCGAAATCAAAAATATGGTTTTTAGATTTTTTGTCTATATGTGTGTCCGGGATGATCTCAAAAAGTGCTGCATGGTTTTACTTCAAATTTTGCATGAATATTACTAACAGGTCGGGTCAACATATAGGCTACATATTATATTAAGTAGGTAGGTACTGAATCAATTCTGACGGCATTCGTTACCGTACAATATCCCTTGATAAAGACTAATTCAAAAGCCTAAATTCTGCCAGAAGTCATTAGGCAACAGCTAGTGATAGAATTTTGCACTATTATTTTTTAATCATATTAAAATAATTTTATTTAATAACATTTTTAGGAACAACCTTTGTGGTAGGGGATCCTTCTATGCTAGTGACATGAACTAAACATAAGTCAACCATGTAGTTATCCTTATCCTTACTATATCCTTACTATATATATATATATATATATATAATATTATAAATCGGAAAGTGAGTTTGTTTGTTTGTTTGTTCCGCTTTCACGCAGTAACTACTAAACCGATTGCTTTGAATTTTTGCACTCGTAAAGTTCTAAATCCGGATTAAATAAGAGGGTATTTTATCCCGGAAAAATTTGATATTCCCGAGGGAAAACAAAAGTATTGGTATAGATGGCGCTGTGTGTATTAGTATATATCACATAGGCAACTTTTTATCCTTTAGTGACGCGAGCGAAGCCGCGGGTAAAAGCTAGTTGAATATAATGGTGAATTCGAAATCTTGGAATAAAGGTAAAGCTTCTTGTTCCTACATAGATTCAATATCTACCTATGTACAATACATATTCAACACCGCACGGTTGCGTCGCGTGCAAACTTTAGGTGCAGTCTCAAGGCAGTGCTCACCTGATTACGGCATTGTTTTATTCGCTGCCATAGCCTTGAACTGAAGCAAGTGCCAATATCAATAATATCCAAGTACCTACGTTACATAATGGTATTAATGTGAGTAACATTTTCACGTTGCAACTATTGCAAGTAGGTATTGTTGCTGTTTCTATCCTAAGTTTTCTATTATGTGACTCTGTCACAATTGTGATGAAAGTTCAATAGAGGTAACTTAGCTCACTATTTTCGGAAGGAAGAGCCATGCTGCGGCAAGAATGGGCCGGCTCGACCTGACAGAAACTGCCTCACAGAAAACCGACGTGAAACAACTCTTGCGTTGTGTTTCGTCGTGTGAGTGAGGTTACCGGTGGCCCAATTATACCCCTCTCCAATCTCCCAATCCCCAATAATCCCCAAAAGGCCGGTAATGCACTTCAAAAACTCTGGTGTTTCGGGTTTGTATGGCCGATTGCTTACCATCAAGTGATCCGTCAGCTTGTTTACTGGCTTATTCCATAAAAATGTCCGCGTAGCCAAGAAAAGCTTATGTATCTAAGTAAAGATTGAAAAAATAAAAAACTACACTGAGTGAAGTCAGTATAGCCATAAGAAAATGCATAGTATTTAGGTACCTACGTAATGTAATTTGCGTTACTGTCGCGTTCGAAGCAGATATTTGGCTAATCTTGTCTATGTACACACATACCTAGTTAGTATATGTACCTATGTATATCGTCTAATTCTCTGTTCGTCTGTTACCTTTAACCTTTTAACTGTGTCCTTCATAGAGAAGCGAATTAGGGAAATAATACACGTAGATATATTATATCGAGCATAGTCATTATCATCGATTTCAAGTGAAACACTATGTTCTTCTGTTTGATGGATGGTTTTACATCAAGGGTTAAGCCGAGGTTGAACCGTTGGGGGCGGAAAAGTGGCATTGAATAAAGAAAATTAATGGTAGTGTTGCTGAGCTGGTGATTTTAAAAAACAATATCTTTGTACTTATTTCAGCTTAACACATACGTCTCGTTAAAAGAAAGCATAAAGTAAAGTTTTTTTAGGTAGGTTGGATTATAGTTCCTATAGCAATGACTGGTCACATTTTCTCTCCGTAATTTCTTAGTCATCCAAAATCTTCGAAACAAATAGTTCCATGTTTAACAAGTTTTATGTATATCCAACTAGCTACTTGCGCGCGGTTTCACCCGCTCTGCTCGGCTCCTATTGGTCGTAGCGAGATTTTTTATAGCCTATAGCCTTCCTCGATAAGTGGACTATTCAACACAAAAAGAATTACTCAATTCAAATCAGTAGTTTCGGAGATTAGCGCGTTCAAACAAACAAACTCTTCAGCTTTATAATATTAGTATAGATAGGATTACATTTCAAAATAATTCAACCAAATTAGGCAATTCCAAACCATGAAATTATCCGTCCAAATATTTACGTTCGCTTCCAGCATAAAATGATTTACCTAATTAAAACATTAAAACTTTAATCGCTAAACATTTTCATTTGGGAAGTGAAACAACGTGTTATTCCCGAAATGAATTATAATATCTGAGACCGGAGTAAAACCAATTACCGAATGGGTATCGTTAATTTAATTAGTGAGGTTGTTATGTCCCGTGTCTAATTGTGTCGTTGTATCGTTGTTTGTAATTACACGTGTGTGTGTCCATGTATAATTCTGACGGCAACTGGTAATCGGCCTGTTGGTAATCCTATCATAGTTTCATAGTAAATACTAATGCATTTTGGTAATTATTATTGTTGAATGTTGCGGTGTAATTTGGTGATGTTAGGGCATTTGCCCTTAGTTATAGGGTTCATTTGTATGTATAGTAGGTACGGTAAACAGTACTATGTAACTGGGTCTCTATTATATTCACAGTGAGTCATTCTTTGTGGTAACGTTCAAGGCGTGTTCGCCATCTCCCATCATACAGTCATACTTTAATAACAAGGACAAATATTTTTCGGTGAAATAACTAATAAAGCGATGACAGTAGAACTTGAAATGAAGTTCTATTTTTGGTTCTTGATTCCACTTCAGCAATCTAAAGTATGCCATTTAGCAGAGTAATCAGTTTAAACGTACAATATCTCAGCTTCAACAATAGTACCACAAAACCACGTAGCGTAGCAAAGATAAATCACAGTTTAAAGTTTGACGGGAAACATATCGTAAAAGTTTAGTTCGACGGGACTTTGTAGCGAAACGGAATATATTCTATAACTTCCTAGAATAGGTACTCACAAGTGAATCTATATGTACTGTACTAATTCTATAAATTTTTACATTTGTGTGTTTGTATCTGTTTGTTTGTTCGTATTTTACGGCAAAACGAAGAGTATTATAATTGATATGATTTTTTAAGGGGGGCATAATGAATGGACTGAGAGTGATATAGCTTTTTTATCACTTCTATCCCCCCATACCTCTCTAAAATCTGGGGTGGACATTTCGCAATTCTCCAGGTAGAAAGCTAAAAGCTAAAAATTGGTATTATTTGCAACTTACAAAAAATAGTGCATAATTTTTTTGTAAATCCAACTCCTTATCAGAGGGCGAGCAACGCCGCCTAAAAACTATAGTAATCGTATATTTGCGTCCCTGAAATATACACGTGGAAGAAATTAGGATAAGTAGTCACTAGTCTGTCGTTCGTACAATTGACTGGCTTTGTGGGTTGTTTACCTATCAATATGTATAACAGGATTGACTAACTAAATAAACATGATTTGCTAAAGAGGATACACAAATCTGATGATTACGAAAACAGTGATGTGATTGTCCGGCATTTGGGTGTCATATACCCAGATTGTTAACTGTTGTTTTGATAATAGTCTCATCAATCAGTACATAATACCAATTTCACAGTGTATTGGGCAAGGTTACCTCAATGTTTCAAGTTTTATTTAAAAAAAGTGTGGGAGAGCCATGCTACGAGAGCCGGCTCGACCGGAGTGATACCACGGCCTCACAGAAAACCGACGTGAAGCAACTCTTGCGTTGTGTTTCGTCGTGTGAGTGAGGTTACCAGGGGCCCAATTACTCTCCCCTTCCCCAATCTCCCCAATTCCTGAATCCCCAACGATCCTCAAACTCCTAATCCCCAAAAGGCCGGTAACGCACTTCTTCTTCTTTTTCTTTTTTAAAAACGTTACCCGACATTAGGATTTTCTCCTGTGTCGTGGGTGCGTTTACAAACATACAAGTTCACATACACAATGACACCCAGACCCGAAACAACCATTTGTGGATCACACAAAGTGTTGTTCCGTGCGAGAATCGAACCCGCGAC